ATTTCTAGTTGATTTGTGTAGAGGTGTTTATAGTATTCTCTGTTTGTAGTTTGTATTACTGTGGGATCAGTGGTGATATCCCCTTTATCATTTTTTATTGTGTCTATTTGATTCTTCACTCTTTTCTTCTTTATCAGTCTGGCTAGTGGTCTATATTTTCTTGATCTTTTCAAAAGACCAGCTCTGGGATTCATTGATTTTTTTTTTTGAAGGGTTTTTTGTGTCTCTATCTCCTTCAATTCTGCTCTGATCTTAGTTATTTCTTGTCTTCTGCTAGCTTCTGAATTTGTTTGCTCTTGCTTCTCTAGTTATTTTAATTGTGATATTAGATCTTTCCTACTTTCTCTTGTGGGCATTTAATGCTATAAATTTCCCTCTACACACTAGTTCAAATGTGTCCCAGACAGTCTGTTGCATTGTGTCTTTGTTCTCATTGGTTTCAAAGAGCATCTTTATTCCTGCCTTCATTTCATTATTTACCCAGTATTCATTCAGGAGCTCCTTATTCAGTTTCCATGTAGTTGTGCAGTTTTGAGTGAGTTTCTTAATTCTGAGTTCTAATTTGATTACACTGTGGTCTGAGAGACTGTTTATTACGGTTTCCATTCTTTTGCATTTGCTGAGGAGTGTTTTACTTCCAATTACGTGGTCAATTTTAGAATAAGTGCGATGAGGTGCTGAGAAAAATGTATATTCTGTTGAGTTGGGGTGGAGAGTTCTGTAGATGTCTATTAGGTCCATTTGATTCAGAGCTGAGTTCAAGTCCTGAATATCCTTGTTAATTTCCTGTCTCATTGATCTGTCTAATATTGACAGTAAGTGTTAAAGTCTCCCATTGTTATTGTGTGGGAGTCTAAGTCTCTTTGTAGGTCTCTAATCACTTGCTTTATGAATCTGGGTGCTCCTGTATTGGGTGCATATATATTTAGGATAATTAGCTCTTCTTACTGCATTGATCCCTTTACCATTACGTAACCCTTCTTTGTCTCTTTTGATCTTTGTTAGTTTAAAGTCTGCTTTATCAGAGACCAGGATTGCAACTCCTGTTTTTGTTTTTTGTTTGTTCATTTGTTTGTTTTATTTGTTTGTTTTGTTTTGCTTTTTGCTTTCCACTTCCTCCATCCCCTTATTTTGAGCCTATGTGTATCTTTGCATATGAGTTGGGCCTCCTCAATACAGCACGCTGATGGGTCTTGACTCTTTATCCAATTTGCCAGTCTGTGTCTTTTAATTGTGGCATTTAGCCCATTTAAATTTAATGTTAATATTGTTATGTCTGAATTTGATCCTATCATTATTATGCTAACTGGTTATTTTGTCTGTTAGTTATGCAGTTTCTTCATAGTGTTGATGGTCTTTACAGTTTGGTATGTTTTTGCAGTGGCTGGTACTGGTTGTTCCTTTCTATGTTTAATGCTTCCTTCAGGAGCTCTTGTAAGGCAGGCCTGGTGGTGACAAAAATCTCTCAGCATTTGCTTGTCTGTAAAGGATTTTATTTCTCCTTCACTTATGAAGCTTAGTTTGGCTGGATACAAAATTCTGGGTTGAAAATTATTTTCTTTAAGAATGCTGAATATTGGCTCCCACTCTCTTCTGGCTTGTAGGGTTTCTGCTGAGAGATGCACTGTTAGTCTAATAGGCTTCCCTTTGTGGGTAATCCAATGTTTCCCTCTGGCGGCCCTTAACATTTTTTCCTTCATTTCAACCTTGGTGAATCTGACCATTATGTGTCTTGGGGTTGCTTTTATCGAGGGAGTATCTTTGTGGTGTTTTCTGTATTTCCTGAATTTGAATGTTGGCCTATCCTGCTAGGTTGGGGAAGTTTTCCTGGATAATATCCTGAAGAGTGTTTTCCAACCTGGTTCCATTCTCCCTGTCACTTTCAGGTACACCAATCAAACAGAGATTTGGTCTTTTCACATAGCCCCATATTTCTTGGAGTCTTTGTTCATTCCTTTTCATTCTTTTTTCTCTAATTTTGTCTTCTTGTTTTATTTCATTAGGTTTGTCTTCAATCTCTGATATCCTTTCTTCTGCCTGATCGATTTAGCTATCGATACTTATGAACGAAGTTCCTGTGCTGTGTTTTTCAGCTCCATCAGGTCATTTATGTTCTTCTCTAAACTGGTTATTCTAGTTAGCAATTTGTCTGACCTTTTTTCAGGGTTCTTAGCTTCCTTGCATTGGGTTAGAACATGCTGCTTTAACTCGGAGGAGTTTGTTATTACCCACCTTCTGAAGCCTACTTCTGTCAATTCATTAAACTCATTCTCTGTCCAGTTTTGTTCCCTTGCTGGTGAGGAGTTGTGATCCTTTGGAGGAGAAGCTGGTTTTTGGAATTTTTGTTTCTCCCCATCTTCATGGATTTATCTACCTTTGGTCTTTGATGTTGGTAACCTTCATATGGGGTCTTTAACAGTCAGACCCCTCTGCTGCAAGTCTGCTGGAGTTTTCTGGAGGTCCACTCCAGACCCTGTTTGCCTGGGTGTCACAAGCGGAGGCTGCAGAACAGCAAAGATTGCTGCCTATTCTTTTCTCTGAAAGCTTTGCCCCAGAGGGGCACCTGCCAGATGTCAGTCAGAGTTCTCCTGTATGAGGTGTCTGTCAGCCCCTACTGGGAGTTGTCTCCCAGTTAGGATACATAGGGGTCAGGGACCCACTTGAGGAGACAGTCTGACCCTTAGCAGAGCTCAAACGCTGTGGTGGGAGATCCGCTGCTCTCTTCAGAGCTGGCAGGCAGAAACATTTAAGTTGTTGAAACTGCACCCACAGCCACCTTTTCCCCCAGGAGTTCTGTCCCAGGAAGATGAGGGTTTTATCTATAAGTCCCTGTCTGGGGATGCTGCCTTTTTTTCAGAGATGCCCTGCCCAGAGAGGCAGTCTGGCCACAGTGGCCTTGCTGAGCTGCAGTGGGCTCCACCCAGTTCAAACTTCTGGGTGTCTTTGTTTACACTGTAAAGGTAAAACCACCTATTCAAGCCTCAGCAATGGCAGACACCCCTCCCCACACTGAGCTGGAGTGTCCCAGGTTGAGCTCAGACTGTTGTGCTGGCTATGAAAATTTCAAGTCAATGGATCTTAGTTTTCTGGGCTCTGTGGGGGTGGGACCTGCCAAACCAAACCACTTGGCTCCCTGGCTTCAGCCCCCTTTCCAGCGGAGTGAACTGTTCTGTCTCTCTGGCGTTCCGGGCACCACCGGGGTATGAGGAGAAAAAAAAACTCCTGCAGCTAGTTTGGTGTCTGCCCGAACATCTGCCCAGTTTTGTGCTTGAAACCCAGGGCTCTGGTGGTGTAGACACCAGAGGGAATCTCCTAGTCTGCAGGTTGCGAAGACTGTAGGAAAAGTGCAGTATCTGGACCGGAGTGCTCCATTCCTCAGGCACAGTCCCTCATGGCTTCCCTTGGGTAGGGGAGAGAACTTCCAACCCCTTGTGCTTCCAAGGTGAGACGATGCCCCAGGCTGCTTCAGCTCATCCTCCATGGGCTACACCCACTGTCCAACTAGTCCCAATGAAATGAACTGGTTACCTCAGTTGGAAATGCAGAAATCATCCACCTTCTGTGTCAGTCTCGCTGGGAGCTGCCGAGTGGAGGTGTTCCTATTCGGCCATCTTGCCAGCAATCTGTATTATTTCTTAAATACTTACTTGCATGCAAATCTCAAATTATCTCAAAATAACTTTAGTTTTTAAAAATGAGTCATTGAAAAATTTTTGAAAATCACCTTTCAAAAATTGGTTGAGATGAAGTAGCTACTTTGACAGACAAGTTCGGTGGTGCTGTCCTGAGAGTCTTTCATGGAAGTCTGCCTAAAGCCTTTCAAAAGTTTTCTAAGCACGCAGTTCCCTGCATCACATTCCTTTTGCTTGAGACAGCTAGAGTGGGTGTTTGTTTGTTTTGTTATCTGCAACTGAACCCTCATGCTGATGCCCTGTGACTTCATAGTTCCATCATGGCTTTCTATCCAAGTGGAATGTCCTCAGTTTAAAAGTCTAAAACTGTCCAGAGATAGTTAGCTACAGCACAGAATGGTCAGTGGGTCTCTCTCAGCTAGGACCCTCACAGGTATTGTCTGAAAGTGAAAGAAAAAGCAGGAAGAAACAATGGGGTCTTGGTTATGGGACATTTTAAATTATTTTGCTGGTGCAGAGATTGGGGTATTGATGACAGTATAGATTAAAAGTCCCAAGGAAACTTTAGGAAAACCTGAGTAGTGTTTCAAATTTCTAAAACATTTAAACTCTTCGGAGTTTTAATGGAGACTTGCTCTTAGGGAAAAACTTGGTGAGATTGCATTGTGTTTCCCATAGGAAATTAAAAGCAGCTGAGAGATTTTTTTTAAGCTCCTATCTATCCTCCTTCTCTCCATTTCTCAAAGGCTTAAGAAGTTTCCCTCACAGTAAATAGAGCAACACAGAAGTGTCCCGGACCCAAGGTGAATGAATTAGCTAGGCCATGGTCAGGTGCCATTGCAGCAACTGGAGTTGGGCAACCGGGGGCTCATGTTTAGAGAGGGTGAAGCCACAGCCACAGAGCTCTAGGGTAGAGCCATCTTCTCAGTGGCCCTAGCCATCCTGTGCTTTGCCTCCTTATCCCTTTCTCCCCACCCACCTTTCATCATCCTCAGAAGCCCACGTGTGTGAAAGGCAGCGGAGGAATGTGGGTGGGTTGACTTGTATAATTAAATCCATGTTGCATCGTGTTCTTTAGAATTAATAAGGAATTCTTCCCATTGAAACTCACCATGACATCTTCCCTCTGACTCAGATTTCTTTTTTGCTTTTCTCTTCTTTCCTTGGCTAAAAGCATTAGACATGGGGCTGTGGTTTAAATTAGCATCCTACATGTCTCTTCTCTCTGTCTTTGCTTAATTGAGCTTTTCTGTTCAGGGAAAAGTGTAGTTTGTTTATATTTCATTTTTCTTCAATTCCACTTATTTTTGTCCCTTTTCTTTCTCTTTAAGAAAACTTAGGAAAAGAGAAAACAAGAGAGCTTTTCACCTTGCGTGTGACTGTAAGGTTGGAGAAAGTGCACTGCCGGCCAAACCTTGACAATCCAGGTGTTCTTTGAGGTTCTTTGTTCCCTGGATCTTCATATTCTGACACCAGGAAAACTGTGCTCTCATATACTTATCCGCTGAGGCCACGAGAGCTGTGAGACAGGGAGAAATAGTGAACAAATGGTCCTTCTAAATTCCTGGGTCATGTTGCGAAACACCTTTTTATTGGGGGTAATAATTTGACTTCATTTCCTTATAAAAGTGGATTTATGTGATGGATATGTGATATATATTTTTTTGCCACCGTTTTTGCAGGATAGTGGTTGTATCAGTTAGGATTAGATTCAACTGTGAATAACATAAACCCAAAATAACAGTGACTTAAACCCGATAAAAGTTTTTCTTTCTGCTCATGTAGAAGAACAGCTGTAGCTGTCTTGGGCTAGTGTGGTGGCTCCACTCCATGAAGGCTTTCTCGGAGACCCAAAAGAAAGCAGCTCAGGGTGTCACCCTCAGCTTCATGGTCCATGTCGGCAGTTATTATGTCATCTTCAGAAGAATCTTACAAACCTTCTGGAAGAGTCCATCTCCCTCCTTTACAGGCTCCTGACTTTTGACCACGAGGAGGGTCTCAGTTTGGTTTCATTCATGAGATTAAGGGTCATGGCACATATTTGAGTCTGACCTGTGCTGCCAATCAGGTATGCAAATCTGGGCAAATCACTAAACTTCTATGCGTCTGTATTTTCATCATATGGAAAATTGAAATTATAACGTATAACTCTTAGAGCAGTATAGTATAAGGATAAAAGACAATATGTAAAGAAAAATTGGTCTGCTGATTAGCATGAAAATGAATATCATTTTACAGTTTTTAAGTTCTGTATTGAGCTTTTTTTTTTTAATTTTTAAAGAAAACCAATCCCATATTTAGAGACTGGAAATTTTTTTTCCTGGTGAGAACATCCTCAAAAAAACAGGCTGTATGTTCCCTACAAGCCCTTCTCCCAAGTGAAAAGAAATATGATGTGCAGCGGGACAGCTTCATTGTTTGTTCCACCTCCAAGGAGGCTTTCACTATAGGTTTCATCTATGGGCGATATGGTGGATTTATGGTTAATATGCACTACCCTCTCCCTCCAGTGGAGTGTTTTTTAAACTGCAGATCAAAAGATCTATCAGATGATAATGAAGTCATTTTAGTGTATCATGACCAGTATGTTTGAATGAAAAAATAGAATGAAATAGAATACAATAGTATAGGTTAGAAAAAAATTAGGCCATATCAGAAATAATGTAAGTTTTTCATGAAACATGTTTCATGTATACGTGCATACACATGTATGTGTATTTTGGGTTATGAAGTAAAATGTGTTTCTTCAAATGGATCATGAGTTTTGAGACAGAATAATAAATTGGGAGGAATTACTCTACCTGACATAAAAGCTGACTATATAATCACAGTGTTTAACACAATGCATTCTTGGCAGAGAGATAGACACATTGATCAATGGAACAGAATAGAGAACCCAAAAATAGACCCACACATGTAAGCCCAACTGACTTTTAACAAAAGTGGGAAAGCAATTCAAATGAAGAAGAAATCAACTGGCCTTTTCAATTCAACTTGGCCTTGACAAAAAGTGGCCCAAATGGGTAGACCTCTCATTTGCATTCTAAGTAGCAGCAAGAAGACAAGAGATGCCCCATGCGTGTCAGAGGTCTTTTAAGCAAAACCTCCGGGAGCAGCCACAGTCTTCAAGCTCATTGACTGGAACTTAGTTTCATGGCCATACCAACTGTAAGAAAACCTGAGAAATTCATCCTGCTTCTGAATAGTCACATGCCTGGCTTGAAAGTCTATTATTATATATCAGCAGAATAAGATAGATATTGGGGCATAGTTAACTATCTGTCAGTGCTACACTGTTGTTTAGATTTATCCAGAGATGTCGTGCAAGTGCAGCATTCCATCTCTCCAGAACACCCAAATAATCCTTCCACAGCACATATTTTATCTCCTGGTTAAAAACCTCAGATGCCTCCAATGCACATAGGGTAAAGACCAAACTCCTTTGTACGATACTTAGATTTTTGAACATTTAGCTCAAGCCATATTTCTAGCCGTCATCTGCCCACTGCATTCTCCCAAATACTAAGACTCTCTGCTACCTAAACGTTCCTGCTCAAGTTCTCCCCTCCCCTGGAATGCATTCCAACTTCTGCCCCCCTCCATATATCTGACCGATGACACCTCATCCATGCAGACCTGTATCATCATTATCCTCTCTCTCTCTCTTTCTCTCTCTCTCCCCTGCCCTTCCTGACTCCTCAAGCCAGCAGAAGTACCTGTTTCCTTCTCTAGGCCTCATTAATTCAGAAGTACACTGATGATGGCACCATCCCGTGTCTTTGTTATTGTGATTTTTTTGTTTTGCTGCAGCCTAGAGGCTCTTCCTACACAAGACCTATCATCCCGAATTCTGTTGCCACAGATCTTGGAGTCCCTCCACACCCTTACAATTAATTGTTGAATTATTGAGAGGTTTCTCAGCATCAAAAAATTGACGGAAAGAAAACAGTATCTATCTATGACAGGTGTGCTCTGAATGGGCAAAGCTGTTATTTCACGGGTTCAGTTGTGAAGAAATGATCTGTGATGAGAAGTGTTTGAAAAAGCTAAGCTGAAAGAATGATTTTTGACATCTGGAGATCCCTATTTTGTTGTCATGAGTGAGTCACACTCACAGTAGACTACAGCAAAGTCAATCTCCTTAGACCCCATGGCCACTTATTAGGAATATCTGCCTGCTTGAAGGAGGGAGATGTCTTTCGATTTCAGCATGCAAAGACACAGTACCAAGGACAACTTTAACAATATCATTTCTCTATTTATGTATTTGGAAAATAAATCTTCTCTCTAAGGAAAAATATACATTCTGTTATTGGAAACTCTACCTTCTTTTTTTGAATGAAATGGCAAGTGACATTCTTCAAGTATGGTCTCACCCTACCCCCCCCGCCTTTTTTTTTTAGACAAGTCTCACTCTGACACCCAGGCTGGAGTGCAATGCTGCAATCTCAGCTCACTGCAAGCTCCGCCTCTCCCAGGTTCATGCCACTCTTCTGCCTCAGCCTCCTGAGTAGCTGGGACTATAGGCACCCGCCACCATGCCTGGCTAATTTTTTGTGTTTTTAGTAGAGATGGTGTTTCACCGTGTTAGTCAGGATGGTCTCGATCTCCTGACCTTGCGATTTGCCTGCCTTGGCCTCCCAAAGTGCTGTAATTACAGGTGTGAGCCACCGCGCCCGGCCAGTCCCACCCTACTCTTAATGGGCCTTCCTGAGCTGCAGTTTCTTAAACTGTGAAATCTAGCTTCTCTGCTGTGAATGATTTTGCTCACCAGATATGTATATCTTCCTGTATATTTCCCTGCCTTTCAATTAGATCAGGTTATATGATATTTTAACCAATGAACTGTGAACAGAAGTGTCGAGATAGGTATCATTCAGAGTGTCCCTGTCTTTCTATAAAGAACATGTGTTTCGGACGGCATAGTTACAAGGTGAAGGAGGATTTTATATATGCAGGAAATACATCTTTACTTTGTTAAGCACCTGAGATTGGGGAGTTTGTCTGTTGCAGCGTCTAGGATTAATAACCATACTAACATACTGACAGTGTGAAGTTCTTAGTAGGATTAAACAGGTTATTTACATACAAGCATGAGCACAGTGCCTGAGAAAAACAGGCATCGGTCACTGTGAAGTAAGATTTTTTCATTAAGATGGATAAATAATTTTACAAAATCCAATAGTTACATTGAAAGAAAAAATGTCTGGAGAACAGAAAATCTTGGTTCTAGAGTTGTACAATTTTAGACTTGGACTTAGAAGCTATTTAATCTAGTGTTTTCCAAACGGGTCTGATTATAAACATCAGGTTCTTAAGCAGAAAAATACAGATTTCTGGGTCCATCTCCACTTATAATGAATCAGAATCTCTAGGGAAGAAGTGTCCATTTGAATTGTTTTGTTGGTTTTCATATGGAAGGAAAGTGAGGCCCAGGAAGTTGATGACTTTTCTAGGGCCACAGAACTGATTATTGACATGTTGGAACTAGAACCCAGCTTCCACAGAGCTGCGTGCTTTCCTTCTGGGATCACATAATAATGTCCTAGTAGAGTGAGACCAGGACTGACCCTTTGTCCCTCTATCTCTGATAAATCATGTCAAGACCTGCAAATGATTTTACCCCTTAACAATGAAAAGAAGATGTAATTTTAAAATTACCTTGGATGTACAGTAAAAGCAGCATTCCCATAATCAATCATCCAAAATCACGGGGTTATTTGGAGCTATTTGAAGGAAAGTAAATTGAAAACATGTTGTTAAACAATGCACCAAAGAGTTATCAAATCATAAACATCTAGATTACTTTAACATGTTGATTATTCCACATTTAGGGTCTCCTTACAAAGCAACTCTGGCCATGAAGAGACCTGGAAAATTCAATGAATCCCTTTCTAAGTTGTTAACTGTACTGAGTTGAATCATTTGGCTATGTGGGAACATATGTTAAAGTAAAAAAAAAACTATATATTATAAATATATTCTTTTTGGAGCTATTATTCACACTTTTCACTAAGCAGAAGACACAGAGGCCTGCTATTCGGACATGTCTCTGAGGATACAGAAATAGTTTGGGGAGTACAGTGGTATAATATTGAACACATTAAAATCTATCTGGAGCTTTGGAAATCAAATATACAGACATTCCATAATGACTCTTGGGTTTTAGCATAATTCCTGAACCTGAAAATTCATAACTAAATAATGGCAGGACATTTATGACATAAATGCCTTAAACCATTTGTTTATTATTATATGTGGATTTTGAGTTATGTTTAAGAAAATTGAAAGCCTACCCTTCCTTTTTTTTTCCATTTTGGGAGAGTGGTACACCAATTACCTTTGAGAGACTGTTTTTCTCCCTGGAAGAGAGCTAAACCAGGACTGAAGTGTACGTCAAGGCATCCATTTGGTTATCAAATCTGTGATCATGCGCTCTTGTTAAACTAAACCAAATTAAATTAATATTTGTTGAAAAATAAATGATGTAATTCGTGAAGAACTCTGTTTTACTCCCAGGATGGTGGCCTGTTTCTTCAAAGTAGCCTGTGAGAAAACAAAGTCTGAAATAGTTCTTTAAACTGAAAAGAGGAAATTGTTTTGAGTGTGGCAGGTGTCTAGAAGGATCACTACCCTTGAGTGATCTCTGATCTCGGGGTCATCGTTATAAGACTAAATTATATATGCAATTTTCCTGAGACCAAATTCAATGACTGAACTCTAAAATTAATCTGGATATTATTTCTTCTTGGAGTTCTAAAACAAGGCCAGGGAAGATTAGAAGCCACTCCTCTGACTGAGATGCATCCTCTGACTTTTCTTGGAATGGATTCCTTATGTGGACACAATGTGATTTGAATTGCATCTGGTTACTGTTTTTAGAAAATTTTGTTGAAATTCAAATGGAGCCTGTGTACTGTGAGCTGATTTATCAGTGCCTGCCCATGTGAGAACCAGAAAGGAACTAGGAGGTGTAACTGTGGGGAGGCCGCTCTGGGGGTCTTTCATCTAGGTTACCTATTAAAGAGGCAGGTCCCCAGGCCGGAAGGAGCAAATGCAGTACACTCCCAGAGGGAAAAGCCTTCTCTTGAGGCTCTGAGAACTGCTAGAGAAGAAACAGCAGCAGTATAGTGGAACAAAGACAGAATTTGAAATCAAACACAGCTAAATCTTAAGCCTAACTCCACCATGTATGAGATATATGACTTTTTTTATTAAGTTTTATAACCTCTCTGAGCCTCAGTTTTCCTACTGGAAAAATAGGAGTAATATTGCCTGCTTTGTTGCGATATAAGAATTAACAGGGGACTTTATGTATCTGACATCTGGTAGGTCCTCAAAAATTGAAAAAAAAAAAGCACATCTGCAATCACCTTATCAGCAATGAACATATATTGAATATTTATTATGGGTCAAGCACTATACTCCTTTACCTCCTGTTGATATCTACTTGGACACCTAGCATTAGTGGATACTCAAAAATAGGTCATAAACTGACAAAACGATAGATGAGTCTCCTTTTCCTATTGACGTTCTTTGGCCACGAAAGGACAAACAGGCAAGACCAGAGGGGAAACGTCCACGTGTTCTGCTGCGGATCCCTCAGTGCACGCAAAGATATGTGTTTCCGGGGGAACGATCCCCTCATCACTTCAGTTGCCTGCTCTTGGGTGGATTGCAATGCCCTGTTACTGGGGTAGTAGCCTTCATTTCGTGTACTGTGATCTTGCTTCTTCTGAATTCAGAGGGTAAAAACTGAAACACCATCTAAAAATGTCAGGTTCTATTTTGCTTCAAGAGCTCCTGAGGGCTGGGCAGAGGTTTTGCAGTTTCACCACAGGCATTTACAAGGGCCGCACACTTTGGCAGAACTAAGTCTCCAGATAGCCTAACCTCTCCAGACCTAGAATGCAGCTGAATCTTAGGGGTCGTGAAAGGGGGAGTTTCTGGGGGGTCCTGAAAAAGACTAAGTCAACCTTGGTTCATCATCATACTATGCTCAAATCACCACCCCCCACCCCCGCCCCCGGCCCCATAGTCAGGGCTTGCTTGGTTTCTGGTTTCAAAATGAAATTTTCACACGGCCCAAATCTCAACCCACCCTAATTTAAAGAAACAGGCACTTGGCATGTGATACAGATAGATCAGCAGTTGCTCATATACAGCTGTGCACATCTGGCACACAGGTATGTGATTTTGCATGAAGATAAATTGTGTGGGGACCAAACGCACAGTTGTTAAACTAAAAATGAATCGCTTCTTGGAAGCAATCTTCCTGCACAGCAGGGACTCTGTGTGAGCTTGATCCTTTTCATTAGGCCTTTCTCAGAAAGCACAGCCTTCTCCAGAAGGCCTAGGATGGAGGAGGGGGCATGCCTACACCTGCAGTTGGCTCTTTGTTGCTCCCCTCAAACAACACTTGGACATAACCTCTGACTGCCATGATTGGACAGCCTTCCCAAGGGAGTTACTCAGAGCCCAGGAGAAAGGAAGAGGCCAGATCCTTCATTGTACTGCTTCACTTTCCATAAATAATGTTGCATTCAGGAGCCTATTCTTCAGGGAGCGTTCTTTTGTACACCATTGCTGAAGGATCCAGGTGTATTACCAAACTTGATGGACCAAGAAGTCTTCCTCCCTTGGGGGCCTCTTGGAGTCAGTGGTGTCTATCCCTGTGTGCACATCTTGCCTGTAACTCACATACTGGTAACTCATGGGAGCACTGCATGCTCAAATGCTGTTCAGATCAGCTGGCTCCACTTGAAGGTGCTTTGCTGGCACTTTAGGGGAAACAGAAAGAATGAATCCTGCTCTAGGCAATCTCCTGGATTCCATGAAGCACCATGCTGAATCAATGGGATCAATGACTAAGGCTGATATCGAATGTTCCATTCCAGGCTTAGTTTCACAATTTCAATAATAGGAAGTTGCTAGGTGTTACTAGGGGTTTGCACAAATGAATCAGTGACTTTGAAGGAGATTTTTCTTATCTTTCTTTTAGTGTGGTAATAATGTAAGCAAGGCTCTACCAAATTTACTTTTATTCTTATTTATCTCCCTATCCCACTCTGCCCTTAATTCTTTCCTCCTTATCTATTTATTTCTCAAAACAAACAACAAATCCAATAGGTGAAGGGAAAATTGCAATGGCTTCAGAGGGAAATATAAACTACACCTTATCCCACTTGAGTTAGAGTAATAGATTAACTGTAATATGTATTCTGCAGTATTGCATATGCTGTGTCTTTTGTCTGTTTATTTTTTTACCCTTTCCTAGATTGGTAAACCCTAGATTATTCCTTATAGCTCAACTCAGTTCTCACCTCTTTTATGACTCCTTCTCACATGGGAGATGATTTTATTCTCTATGCTACTATTATACTGCATGCATACCTGTCTGCTAGCAGCACACCACTTTGTGATTGCCTGTTTCCATGTCTGCTTTCCCACCACAGTGTGGGCCTCTCCACAGCAGGGATTATCTGTTTCTTTCTATTTCCAACACTGAGCCCTATTTTAATAAATATATACCTGGCAAATGAATACCAATGCTATTCTTTCTTTTCCTGAATAACTTTGTTAGAACACGAGGTATTCCTCCTTTGTGAACTCCATGATAACCCAGGATGAGAATATAAAGGGTCCTCCATAAAGCTGCTCTGGACCTGACCCAGACAGCAAACAAAAAACAGCCATATTCCGAGGTAGCCTGCAACTGCCAGAATTACCTGGGATCTGCCTCAGGGGGTCCTGGCAAGGGATAAAATAAGAGGAAACATGTGAATAAAAACAGGACTGATTATCTTTGTTCTTAAGGAAAAGAAAATGCAAGTATTTTCAGGCCTCAATGCTGAGACCAGGGTGAGAGTACAGAGGTGCATGTCATTGTGGGAGCTACCAGAGGTGTTTGAAACTAGCCACTGCAAGAGCTCCCTGGTGGGACTCTCAGTCAAGGAATTATCAATAGCAAAGTCTCCCAAAGGTCTGTCTCTATCAGCGCTCTTCATTTGCCCATTTGTCCAACCTTGCCTTGCATTGGTAGTTTGTAATACTCTTGAATCCCAGAATGAGCAAAAGCTTTGAGTGGGGAGGTTTGTCTTTTGCAGAACCTAATATAAATTCTATACTCACATGGCAACAGAAAGCTGAGCAGAATCAAGAAGTATATATACATATATATCACACATATATCATACATGTGATATATACGATAAATAATACACACACATACACACACACACACACAGTTTGCCAGTTGTTTTTCCATCTAGTCTAGTTTTTATTATATGAATAAGACTCAAAAATACTTACCAAAATTAATGACTGATAAAATAGTCAATCTCCCTCTTCCTGGTAGAAGAATGTTATCTTAGGGCCCAACAGTATAATAAAATCGCATTATTGGGATAGCTCAGAGAAGAGGGTTTCTAAGATGGGCTTCTCACAGTTTCTTGCCTTGACTCCGAAAACGCTGGTGCTGCTCTGCTTTGCTCCCTTGTCCCTGTTCTTCACATCCGAGCTCCTGTTCTGTCCCACCCAGCCTCTATGGCAGGATTCCCTGAAGCAGCCTGCCTCTCTCCCCACATGATCTGCGTGGTGGCCAGGACCAACACATCGGGGGGACTGTCCTGTTCCTTACAATGTGTGGGAAAGACACAGACAACTGGAGGGAAGGGAAGAAAGAATCACACCACAGCTCTACGATGGCTTCTGTGGAAAAGTACATGTGGGAAATATAACCCTCTGTAGAGGTGACCAGAATGTTTAGTCATATAGAATTTTTTAATTGCTATGTCACCCAACTAAAAAACAGCCTGCATTTTCAACTGAGGGAATAAAAAGCCTGGTTGCTTATGTGCAGGCAAATGATGACTTCCTGTGCACTTTCTCCTGGCCTCGTCAGTGCCTCAGTACAAAAAAACTCAAAACTGTTACCAGTAGCAGGAAGGCAATAGGAAAACAATGAAGATTAGGAGAGAAAGGAG